AAAACAGCACTACAAGAGCTTGAATGGGAGGTTCTTCAGCATCCACCGCACTCTCCGGATCTTGCACCTGCCGACTATCTCCTTTTCCGCTCTATGTTAAACCCAATGAGGGGTGTTATCTTCGATGGCGAAGGGGACCTTAAAAACTGTCTCAAAAAACTCTTCGACACCACAACGGCCGATTTTCGGCGAATCGCCATCAACAAATTGGTCGAGAGATGGGAGGAGATCGTGAACAGTAAGGGAGGATACATCATTGGTTAATTTATTATTATAATTACTCTTTTTTGGTTCAAATAAAGCTTTGTGAAAGAAACCTACGAACTTATGTTACAACCCAATATATTACGCCTCCAACCTGGAATCTATAACCGTAGAAAAGAAACCTTTTGTAAGAAAATGTGTTCAACTAGCGATTTCAGAGGTCTAAGGGAAAGTTGCCTAGAGGAAAAAGGAACACCACATCAAAGTGGGCCAAAAAACCTTCTAAAATGTACCTCGCTCAATTACCGTGGGACGAACTACCGCTTGTGAGTTATGGAGCTCAGGGTATGACAAACTCGACATTGATGCTTCAAGTTAGCAACGATTTTCTTGTCGTCGTTAAAAAATTTTCTCTGTACCTTCATTTATGTGCAGTTTGCAATGAAGCACAGTAATAACAAGCATTATATTACCATAAGATCTGATTTCTCCGGCCGTAGTCCTACTGAACTCTTTGGAGTGATGGTGGTCAAGGTTCATTTAATCGCGATTTTATCCTAGCGATCAGATTTATAACAATCAAGAATTTCAAGGATATTAGTTATACAAATCAGTTGGAAGTAGAAATCTAATCCAACAGCAACCAGTTTTTAAATAAAATCTTTCTCTCTTTTCGGGTTACAAAAATGGTCGGTTAGGGGTTCAAATGGTGTAAGCGGCGAGCGGTCAGCTGGAAGCTCCTCAGTGCACGGTTCAGATGTAGCCAGTGGAGCGGCCGTTAATGAGTGGAAGCTCGATCTGAGAGTAGGACGCGCTTCGTATAAGATGATCAGTCCATCGGCATCCATGGACTTAGAAATCCATTAGCTGAATACTCGTATGGAAGGATTGTTTCTATTGTATTTCTGCCTATGAAATAGGGAGGAGCCTTTCTCAGGCCGCCATTATTCCACAGGCACGAATACAAAAGAAATACCGCCCGTTGATCTATGACTGCTCCTGGAACTCCGGATTCTCTCTGCACTTCTGGGCATAGGGGAACTTAAGGCGTTGTCCTCCTATATTCTGTTGAATGACGCTGCCTGCATTCCTTTAGTTCAGAAGTTTCTTGTGAAAAAGTTCATTGAACTGAAGGCTGTTCTAGCTATCGTTCGCCTCATCCTACCTATATAGAGTTCCTCCGAGAAGCTCGCAAGCAGCTCAGTGTTGAAAAGATGGATGCGGACCCGGATGCTCTTTGTCTTCTTCACTACTCCCTCTTGTTCTTTAATGTCTCCCACGCCACGCGTTTCCTTTTGCTCAACTCCGAAGCCACGCCGTTCATCATGTTGGCTTCTGGGCCCAAGTACACGCAGCTGAAACATGTAGAAGTGTCCTTAGCATTGAGCGTGAAATCAGTATCAGGAATCGTCCCCCTCTAATGAATATCCTTGAGCGGTACTGAAAAGTTTGTGTGGGATGATGTCGATCTGTCGAATCCCTCTCGTAACGTTCCCTATGATTTCTTTACTATTATTATTTATTATTGATGTTTATTACATGAGATGACTCATGCAAGGGCTCTGAGGTAGCCAGATTTCCTTGCAGATTGTTGAGATCCAGGTCGCAAAGTTGTAGAACTTGAGTTGGAACACCCTGGTCGCCCGGGGTTCAGAGTGCCGCTGTTGTCACGACAGTAATAAAAGCCTCCTCCAAGTCGGTTAACACCACTCTGCACCTCCACTACACTCCAGTGAGTCCTGTAACTTGTGGCGGATTTGATCTATTGTGTTGAATTCCCCACTCCTCCGTAAACCCGCTGGTTTGTATGTTTCATTTCAATCTTACCAATGAACACACGTGGTGAAGAGTTTGCAGATGATAGAGATCTGGCAGATTGAGCATGGGTTGCCATCATGCCATTTGCTCTTCTTTCAACTCCAATTCACTAATTATCCCCCACCCCCTCCCACACCAATTTGTGGTGTTTCGCCAAAGTTCATTTCCAAATTCGTTTTCTGAGTGACTGGCTGAAATGTGAGCCTATGTAGCTTCGTAATCAGTCCTCTTCGCTGATTTAATATGATCATGAAAAGTGTGGGATTCGAACATCGTGGCATTATCAATGTGGCTAATTAGGATGAAAAGGAGTCAAAGCTGAAAGTACTCCCTTTTCCCCTGACGTTGCCCTATTTTTTATGAGAAACGATGGTGAACTATGTAGCAGCGATCCTGCGACTGATGGGAATGTCTATCGACAACAGAAGCGAAACTTTCTCTGATGGGAGGCTCCACGAAAAAGGACCTCTCAATAGGCACTTACATACAAAAAGAAGCACAAGATGAGGGCATTTTCTGAAATTTGAAAGTTTCGCTTGAAGTGACCCACGAAGAAGTATGAAGATGTGTACCCAACTCACATATTAACCCATTGACGACTCGTAACCCGCCGGCGGGCCACACCTCCTTCAGTATTTATACTATTTATCAAGTGTTCTTGTAATTTTTTCATGTTTTCAAGTATCAGCTGAGCTCACAGCTTTCTAGAGAATCTTGATACATCGTGGTCCAGAAATTCATTTCCAAGCACAGTCATGGGAAAAATTAAAAGTTAATGTAAGGACAGTATAAAAGGCGTGGTCGCCATTGGGTTAAAAACTTTCTTAAAGGTAGACTTTATGTATAACAAATAAGCAGAATGGCTTTCATACTTTGCTTGTGATTTGTTTTTTTTTNTTTTTTTTTTTCAATTCTTTTTCTCCATAATTTAGGATTGTTGGTATTCGTCATGAAAAATCACCCAGTGGCTTGTCCTCTTTATTAAGCCTACCCAAGCTGGAGTCAGAAAAGGGATTATCCTCATTGCTTCTTCCGGAGAACCTTAACAAGGCGGCTGACTGATATAGTGAAGGCCTAAAAAAGCTTACTCCAGATAAGGGATCCGACTCTATTACTCTTGGTCTTTTTAACTTCCAAATATCTGTAATGTGGTCGGAGGTAGTGTACAATACTGCTATGGTTCGTGGTGAATCTACGGTTTGCTACGGATCGCTCGACCAAGAATTAGTAACAGTATTGTAGTGACAAGTGGTAGGCACGCATGATCCGCGGTTTCATTACCAGATCGGAAGCAGCCCAGGTCAACCACTACTCCCTCCGTGATCGGTTAGTCGGTACTAGATCCGTCTGAGAAAACACAAGTACCGATTGCACAATGCCCACTGTGGATGATTGTATAGGCTATATACGCATTCGAATAGTCACTACGATGCTGAATGGTAGTCGAATGCGGCGGCACATGCCAAAATGGGGTTACCACCAAAGACATATCCTATTCCTTCAAAACCAAAAAACTACAGGAACTTGCGCATTATTCTTCGAGGACATGGGTTCACATAACATGACGACATAGAGGAAAATAGAGGAAATCGTTAGGGGCTGTGATTTGTTGAATGCCGTAGAAAACGGAAG